GAAAACCTTTTTCCCCAGTGCCTGGTTTTGCTTCCTACCACAAATCATTCTCGGAATTATTATTTGTGACCTTCCACGGATTTCAAGGAATCAGGGGAACGCACGCACTTGGCACGTTATAACACGCTCGCGCGCCAGTAGCATAACACGCTTATCGTGCAGATATGCACATAAAAACAATTGATTCTGGGAAGCGTGTTGGTAGCCATTTTTCATATCTGGCCAGCGCGGTAGAGCTTTGAATCTATAACTCGCTAGATTTTTTTTTTTTTTTTTAACACGCTAAGTTCCTTTGTTTCCTTAGGACTTCAGCTTATCTTTTATCACCCAGCTTAATTTGTCGCTTGTGTTTGTCAAGTGTGTTACTAACAGAATATAAGCGAAAATGAAGATCTCCTGTCCTATTCGAAAGTTGTAATAAAAAAGGAAACACTCACGACAAATCACTTTCCCTCAGGATTTTCACGAGGAATTCAGTGAGCACGACGTGTTTTACAAGGTCCAGAGGGGCTCAGTTTGAACACATGAATTACTGTTTTGAAAGTTAATCCTTACCGCGTAAAATATAAATCCTTATCGCTTCACGCAGTTAATAAGCCCTATCAATCCTTTAGCAACAGATTACCGTCTCCATATCCCCCTAACGACTCGGTCGCTGTTTGTCACTCTATGCAAGTCGGCAATTTTAAAATAAATAACCGCTAGTTAGCCGGCGCAAAACGAAGCTTTCCGAGCGAAGCCGCATATTATTCATTATTATATACATACCGAGATTTACGCGCCAAAATTCATCGAGACAAAAATAGTTTCTTCACGCTAGAGACGCCAGCTGATTGGTCATACGATTATCATTATTTTCACTAATGAAAAAAACCGTGTCGCTTGCTCGCCGCTCCTCTTGACCGACAAATTGCACATTTCTAAGAGCTTAGGCACACCTTTTTTTTTTTTTTTTTTTTTAAGAAAGATGGCTTAAAATCAGATTAACAGTTTTCAGAGCCTAGATTTATCAGTAGAAGAGTTCATAGACGGACAGAAAATGAGAACACTAAGAAAAAGACTAAACAATATGTTACTCTGTTCCGTGAATTTCTTGTTTTGAAAGGCAAGACGAGGCAAATGAACGAATGACCCCTCAAGCGCTGAACATGTTAAGTTCCATCTAACGGTTCGCAGAAAAGAAGACAACTAGGAATACGAGCCTAATTCCTTAAGGGCATCGTTCGCTAGCTTTTAGCGCCATTTGAAGAAAAAAAACTATGGACTTTGCCGTATGACGAAAAACACCAAAAAAAAAAACCAAACAAAAAACACGACGTTGCTTTGTTCCATGAATTTCTTGTTTTGACTCCTCAAGCTGAACAAGTTTCTCAGCGAGTTCCTTATAACGGTTCGCAAAAAAGAACACAACGAGGAATACGAGCCTAATTCCCTAAGGACTTTCTTCGCCAGTTTTCAGCGCCATTCGAAGAAAAATATACTATGGACTTTGCCTTATGAAAAACGTCCAGTTCGAGCAAACTCAGAAAGCGCCTAAGTCAAAGTAAAGTGATCTAAAACGGAAAGGTATGGGCAACAAGCCTAATGCTTCTGCAGCTTTAAGTGAGGAAGATATTCAAGTTCTGTTTGAAAAGGATCTCTTGGGAAGTTCCACGGCACCGGAGTACCTCGAATTCAATGAAAGACAAACCAAAACTCGTTCAAGAAACGATCC